CAAAATGCATTGTTCCCCTCATTAGCATATTTCCCGGAATTAATTGATTTAATTTAATCTACATATTTCCCAAAATGCATGGATTCCCCTAATCTACATATTTAAGACAGTTACCCACCCAAAACCCCTGTTTTTCCGAGAGATCCCGCTAATTTTCGCTGGTTGTTGCGGTTGATAGTGGATTGGATGTCTATTCTTTTCAAGAGTTGTTCACAACTATTTAACCTCCACAACACACCACCAGCGCGTGTTTTTTTAAAATGTCGTTTCACCTTAGGGAGACTGTTTTAAATTATGCAAATGAGGGAGATTTTCAGTTTCCAGTTAGGGAGACTGTTTTTTTGGGTGTTTTTTCACTAAAATGAACTGTTTTGACTGGGAGTCTTCACCGATTTTGAGGCAACCCTAACCCCTAACCCTAACCTTAGGTTGGTTTGGGCCCTGTTATTTCGAGTTACACGCCGTTAAGAGTCCACATAGCTCACCTGAGGGTCATCGTGCAGAGCACACCATAGACTCTCTATGGTGGGCTCTGCAGGGTCACCCTCAGGTGGGCTGGTCACAGTCTTAGGGTAGAGTTAGGGTACTGAGAGGGTTAGATTTCTTAGTGCTCCACAAGCGAGGGTTAAGTTTAGGCATAGAGTCGGACGGTTAAGTTTAGGCTGCAATTCCGAGGGTTAAGTTTAGGGTTAGGGTACTGAGAGGGTTAGAGTTCTTCCACGGGTGAGGGAGCCTGATGTGAACCCTAAGGTGGCTAACCCTAAACTCCGTTAGGGTTGCAGGTCTTTAGGGGTGTGGGAGTTAGGGTTAGGTAATTGATTTGCCGTTTTTTCGTTAGCGCAAGCGCAGTGTAGATCGTACGACTTTTGACGGACGGAAACGCCAGCAACCTTACGACAATCGTACGATCTAGCAAAGTTTTCAAACATGCTTGACCGTCAAAAGTCGTATGATTGTACAGTAATGTCGGTCGGACACTGCAATGCACACATACGATTATCGGCCTAAAAGTCGATCGCATACGAAAATCGTACGATAATCGTAAGGTGTATGGGCACCTTTAGAAGCCACTCTGAATGGAGAAAAAGCTGGCCGCTTGAGACTTGAAGCTGGCAGTTTTTTCCTCCATAATAGGTGGTGAGGCTCTGCCCCACCTCTCTCCCCTGACCGTACGTCCCTGAATCCTGGTTTCACTTCCACTGGATGTCTATACACAATATGAACACTACTCTTCTGCTGCCATGTGGTGGAAGCATTGTAGCACTTTCACTGCATCTCTATACACAATATTACTGTCACTCTGTTGCCTCCTTGTGGCTGAATCCCGGTATGACATCCAAAGTATTTCTATACATATAATATTGTTCTCTCTCTGCTGCCATCTTGTGGATGAATACTGGTAGGACTCACAATATATTTGTAGACTCACAATATTTCCACTACTTTGCTACCACTTTGTGGCTAAATCCTGGTAATAACTGTGTCATTATCACAGTTCTGCTCCCGAATGTCAACAAAGGAGTGGAGCTAGTCTGATGATCATGATTTGCGCTTCCACTTTGTTGACATTTGGGTCATTTTGCTGCGAAATTTTGTCAGATTAGGTCATGTTGGCGGAATTCTTTTCATTTGCTGAGTTGGCGGCCATCGTCCATCGTGATTGACGAGGATCTACATCACTGGACGGTGTGATTAACATTTGGATTACATCAATTTTTTTTTTTTATAAAAGACTTGTAAAAAAATGTGTAGTTTGCTTTTTTTTTTTTTTTAAATAAAGCATTACTTTTATGGTGCAGTCTGTTTATTTACAATTTTACTGTATTTGGTGAATGAGTAGAGGTAACAACTACCCCTTACTCATTTATAAGAGGGGCGGCAGCTGGGTGCCCTTAGGGTTATGGTTGTTAGATGCCCTCATCGACATAGCGACAATCACTCTTCCCATGTTGAGGGCATGTGGCCTGGTATGGCGCACACTCACCTTTCCTGCTCTGCCAGGCTGCTGCTCGGATCAAAGGTCTAGTAAGGTATTTTAAAGATGGACCCACACTTATTATTTTTTTTGTTGGCATTAGGATTTCCCCTGAAATTCCCAACAGACCTAAAGGGTCTGGTATGAACTTGGGAGGGGACTCCACAATGTTTGTTTTTTATTTACTTTAACGTTTAACAACATAAATTCATTCTGAATGACATTAGGAAAAAATTTCAGATGCATTCAAATTTTTTGTTATAAAAAATTTAGGATATTTTTGGAATTGTTTATTTTTTTTTAATTCCAAAATTCAAGTGCATCCGAATGTCCGAATCTGCAGAAATTTGTACAACTTTCTATTCGGAATGAAATAAATAGCACATGTCTATCCAAGATTAAACATCCTGCCCCCACTAAACCAGAGTGAAAGTAAAGCTGGATTGCACATCCCAACAAAGAAAGGCTTCTATCCAGAAATATGGTATTTACCAACATTTGGGGCACTATGGTTGAGGAGAAGCAAATGTCAATGACAGAAAGGTTATTTAAGAAAAAGTATGTAGGAGTCTGGAGTGGAGGAGGGGAGTGTTTCATTCACCATGAAAATCAGTACAAGATTTCATAAATCATTTTGTGGCTTTTATGTTATTTTCTGCCCTAAAATGTGGATTATAATGTGTGCAAAAAAACACAAAAATGGATCCGGCAGTGAAAGGATTAAAGGTCTACTCAAGTCAAGGTTGATAGTAAAACTTTGAAATACATATATGTGCACAACCTACCTGCCTGTAAAAATAAATAACGATCATAGCTGTTGCGGATGTTTGAGGTACCTCAGACTACACAAACATAAATGTCAAATATAACAAACGTTATACATATAGATTAAAAACAACTGACTGTCTGTAAAGCTGTCTAGCAGCTGCCTCCTCACTGTCATGGTCGTTTAATTATTCATTAAATAATGTCTGAATAAAGAGCAGCTATAAAGCCCAGTTAACAACTGCCCATGGTGAGAACACGTGTCTCGTTCGCATGCGTTTGTGCACATTTGCCTTGCATCTGTAACGGTCGACCTACTCCCGGGGTAACCTTGGATCACAGCTGCAGAGCACTCTTTCCGTGAACAGGCAGTAATGGGTGTGGAGGTGGATCAGTGTGAGGTTCTGCTGTAACACTCTATAGTGGATGAGAGTGAGCGTGAACCTGTATACATCATACCCCACCTAAGGAGAAGGAACAGTCCAACACCACCCGGCATAAATGTCCCTCGACAATTTGAATAAGGTATCACTGCCGGCGGTCTGATGGGCAGTGTAGTTCCCTCAGTAACAAGTGGAGCCCCTCAGAACTCGTTATCAATAGTGGCTATGATAAGGAGGGGTCAGGTTACGTAGCACTGGCCACGATACTGTCGGAGCGTGATGGGATCAGTAGCTGTCCCACCCACTTATCAGTGGAATGCTATGCAAGTTATTTAGCAATACAATTATAGTGCCCCCCTTCTATAGTAACCATGTATTTCTCACAAGACAAATCCTGGCTATGAGTGATGTAGCATACAGCGTAAGGGCAGGCAATAATATAGACAAGTTGCACCTAGGTGCCAGGTACTTGCTGTGAGGAGTTTAGCTGGATAGTGAGCGAAGGATCTGAGACAGGTGAGTTGTAGCTTATGGGAACTGGCTGTCAGTCCAGGGAGACAGCCAGTAGGTTCAGGGTTCAGCATGTGGTTGCGGGTGAGTAGAGAGGAAACTATTGCTCAATGTTCTACCACACTAGAACGCCGAGCAATCGGATTCGTCTCCATCTTAATGAGAAGTGACACTTGCGGGGGAGGAGTCGCCGGCAGCCGCCGACGTGCACGCCTTGATGTTACGAGACGGCGCTGGAGTAGGAGGCGGCGATCGGTCCCACAGGCGCGAGGAGAGGTAAGTCTATGACAGCATCGCCATTGATTTCAATGGGTTCCTATATACCAAGCAAAAAAGCTCATGTAGTATTATGCGCAACACTCGTTAGCTGGTCTTTGCTACAGCAAAAACTTTCCCAGCACACTCACCAGCCGGCATGCAAAAAAACTTGTCTCACCACTAAGGTTAAAAACAGAGGTTTTAGATACACGTCTTCTGCAGAATATTTGAAAGCCGCACAGCCGCGTCAAGGCACCTCTATGTAGTGCGGTCCTAACTCTAACCTATGAGAGTATCTATGTTGGAGCACATGTAGCAAAAGACCAGGCGTTCTTTGCTTCCGCGTTCCTGCACATTTTCACTTAGTCTTGCTGGCCGCATTAGAAATGAATGGCACCGCAAGCGCGTTGCATGTTTTGCTTCGTTTCCATTAACGCTTGCCGAAAGCACTCAACAAAGCTTGCTTTGGCGCATATTTACAGAACGCACAGATGTAAATGGGGCCTAAAGGTTATAGATGAAATGTTACTCATAACCTTATATAACCATGTACTCATAACATACAATTATAAGTACATTTTCAATGGTTGATACTATTGTGACTTTGTATGTAGTACACATTATTTATTCTTTTATTTGTTTTTGTCACACTAGACAATATTTATACTTGATATCTCAAATTTAATTTTATAGTTCTTATTATATAATTTTTATATCATTTTTACTTTGTCTATAGATATTTTAGTAAGTGTCACTTTCTTTGTTAATTTATATGCACATATATACATATCTATCTACATCCTTTTTTTTTCTTAGGTGGGCTGTGATGGTTCTTTTGCAGGCTGTGCGGATTCTCAGGTGGGCTGTGCAGGTTCTATGGTGGGCTGTGTAGGCTCTCAGAGGGGCTGTGCGGACTCCATGTTGGCTGTGCAGACTCTCAGGTGGGCTGTGCAGGTTGTATAGTGGGCTATGCGGATTCTTAGGAGGGCTGTGCGGGTTCTATGGTGGGCTGTGTAGACTCTCAGGTGGACTCCCTGGGCTCTCTGGTGTGCTGTGCAGGGTCTATGCTGGGTTTTGCAGGGTCTTAGGAGGGTTGTGTGGAAAGCAAATTAGTAACGTAGTGTAACTGCCGTTGTTTTTCTTAAAGCTGCTTTGATTTCCTTATTGCGCACACTGTAGATGATGGGATTCAGCACTGGTGTCACTACTGTATATAGGATGGACACAACTCTGTCCTGTTCTGGGGAGTAACTGGAAGGAGGACGTAAGTGCATAAACAGTACCGTTCCGTAGAAGAGGGAGACCACAGCAAGGTGGGAGGCACAAGTAGAGAAAGCTTTCTGTCTTTTTTGGGTGGACTTTATATTTAGGATAGTCAAAGTGATGAAGAGATAAGATGCAAGGATGAGCACAAAGGAGACTCCAACAATTGCTGCAACTGCAACATACTCTAAGACCTCACTGAACCAAATATCTGCACAGGCCAAATGAAGTAATGGTGGCATCTCACAGAAAAAATGGTCTATCTTGTTGGATTTGCAGTAAGGTAACTGAAAGGCATACACGGTAAGAATAACAGGGACCGCAATACTCACAGACCACCCTCCAGCAGTAAGATAAAGGCACGTTTTTTGGTCCATGATCATATTGTACTGTAGTGGTTTACAGATGGCATTGTATCTGTCAAAAGCCATAATAGCCAAGACGATACATTCTGCAGCTGCTAGAGCTGAATGGAAGTACAACTGGATTGCACATCCCCAAAAGGAAATGCTCCTGTCTTGTGAAAGGGTGTTTACCAACATTTTGGGCACCACAGTTGTGGAATAGCAAATGTCAATAATGGCAAGATTGGCCAGGAAAAAGTACATAGGAGTCTGGATTTGTGGGTTAAACCTCACTATGATAATCAGTAAACAATTTCCTGATAATGTCACCACATACATTATCAACAGCAGCAAAGAGAAGACAACTTGCAGACCATAGATGTCAGAGAGTCCGAGAAGGATGAATTTTTTTACAAGTGTTTGGTTTGAGTTCTCCACCACAACATACAATGCCATTTTTGGTTATGTATTATAAAGAACTTATAAAGAAACATTAAGCTATCAAATAAAATAATTATACTTTGATTTTTCAGCTAATGTGTTATAAATAAAAACAATAAAACAACATCAATATTATTAAAACTACATTAAATAAACAATTTCCACTCTTCAGTTGAATTGAAATGTACAGTATAATTTTATCATATGCAAACTACTGAAATCAACTTTAGTTTGAATTATCCAATGCAACATTCCATGCCATTTTGTGTTCTAGAAAGCCTTGGATTTCTATAAATATCAGATGATTTGGCAATGCAGTCCTTATCAAACAAATCCTGGTAAAATACCAAAAACAAAGTCAAATTGTGGAATGAATTACTGTCAAAACGTGTTGTTGCTGCCAGAGAGTGCAATTGGTATTTTAAGGTAACACGTCCTCTGTTTTAGGGTGCCTCTCATCCGCTGAAGCCAACCTGAAAGGGATTCTTAAATAGAATGCCAGTTGTATATAAGTCTATACTTGGTCCCCAAAGGTTTCATTTTCAGTTGCTGGAAAGTTCATTCTAACATTTGCTTTGTTGACTTTAGATTCCCAGTCCAATTAGAGTTTTCAAGTCTATATAAATTACCTTTAAACTCAATAGAAGTTTTCTAACTAGAGTGAAACTTCAAACATTATTCTCTAATATGTTATGTTGCCCACGAATGAGAGAATATTTAAGAAGATATAACACAATTTAATACAAATTCTTTTACTGAAATTACTGTATAAACAATCTCAATATTGTTTATACCGTATAAACAATCTCAATATTTATCAGTAGATTTATTCATGTCTGGATATTTTTTAGGCTCTTTATGCTTTAAAAAAGTGAAATAAAACATTTGATTCTAAGCGTACTCTATGATAATAAAAGCCTATTAAAAAGGGCAAAAAAGATTTTCCAGCAAGTTGTAAACTTAATTTTTCTTTTTTTAAATATTTGGCTGTTATCAGTGACTGCGTTTTACTTAGACCTTTGTGACTGTTGTTTGGTTCTCTTAAATTGTTGAACATGGCCCATGCTTGACAAGCTTAAGCTCATCACTTAGGGGTTGATTTACTAAAGGCAAATAAACTGTTCACTTTGCAGAGGAATTTACAGTTTGCAAAGGATTTTTCCTTGAGCTTAGTGAATGAGGTAAATCTCTGCTGACTTCCATCAGCAAACCACATGAAGGCGGAGATAACGTTTTTTAATTTGCCATTAAGTGACTATTATTTGAAATGAAACATTCACCACATTTACCAGGCCAAGGGAAAATTCACTTGCAATGTGCACAGCCGATTTACCTTTAATGGATGAAACCCACTGATTGCTGCAAGACGTAGATTGGGCGCACTGCCTCTATGCATGTCCCTGGAAGCTCCTGGGGTTATGGGAGTGGTCTTTGACCTTAAGATGTATCCCCCTTCACTTCATGTATAACCCTACAGGATTATTGCAGAAGGTTTCCTCCCACTGCCAACAAGGACATATTCCCTAAATGAGTTTAACTGATACATGTTCTTTAAACTTAAAGCAAGGATTGTCCTGTTGGTTATGTGTTTAGATGAAGTACTGAGATCTTGAGGGATGATGAAATAAGTTTTACATGCTCAGAAGGACATTACATCAGAATACAGCATTGAAAAGAGGAAATAAATAAATATATATACACTATATTGCTAAAAGTATTGGGACGCCTTTACACGCACATGAACTTTAATGGCCCCCCAGTCTTAGTCCGTAGGGTTCAGTATTGGGTTGGCTCCGCCCTTTGCCACTATAACAGCTGTGCCTCTTCTGGGAAGGCATCCACAAGGTTTAGGAGTGTGTCTATGGGAATGTTGGACCATTTGTGAGGTCAGGTACTGATGTTGGGGGAGGGGCTCGCAGTCTCCGCTCTAATTCATCCCAAAGGTGTTCTATGGGGTTGAGGTCAGGACTCTGTGCGGCCAGTCACGTTCCTCCCCCCCCCCCCATCCATGTCTTTATGGACCTTGCTTTGTGCACTGGTGCGCAGTCATGTTGGAACAGGAAGGGGCCCTCCCCAAACTCCTCCCACAAAGTTGGGAGCATGAAATTGTCCAAAATGTCTTGGTGGGCTGAGGCCTTAAGAGTTCCCTTCACTGGAACTAAGGGGCGGAGCCCAACCCCCGAAAAACAACCCTCCCCCATAATCCCCCCTCCACCAAACCTAACACTTGGCACAATGCAGTCAGGCAAGTACCGTTCTCCTGGCAACCGCCAAACCCAGACACGCCCATCGGATTGCCAGACAGAGAAGCGTGATTGGTCACTCCAGAGAACACGTCTCCACTTCTCTAGAGTCCAGTGGCGGCGCGCTTTACACCACGGCATCCCACGCTTTGCATTGCACTTGGTGATGTGCGGCTTGGATGCAGCTGCTCGGCCATGGAACCCATTCCATGAAGCTCTCTACACACTGTTGTGCCAATCTGAAGGCCACATGGAGTTTGGAGGTCTGTAGCTATTGACTCTGTAGACAGTTGCCGACTTCTGTGCGCTTCAGCATGCGCTGACGCCGTTCTGTCATGTTACGTGGCCTACCACTTCCTGGCTGAGTTGCTGTTGTTCCCAGTTGCTTCCACTTAGTTATAATACCGGTAACAGATGACCGCGGAATATTTAGTAGCCAGGAAATTTCATGGAACACCTGAATCCAATGATTTGGAGGGGTATCACAATACTTTTGGCAATATAGTGTATATATATAGGCAACCTTCCTGTGTATCAAAGATAAGCATGCATAACCATAGAGACTAACATTGCACTACAGTGCCATCTAGTGCTGAAAAGACATACTGTAGTTACATCTGAATGTCAGTATGCTGTTGCATTTCTAAAAGCCCCCCCCTCCTCAAGGCTTTTCAAACCAAAAATAAAAAAGAATATATGTAATTTTTATCTCTTCACTGCTTATAACAACCCTAACCCTAACCCTAAGAATTAAATACATTTTAAAAAGTATGACCTGCATAAGAAATGGGTTTATACTTACCCTTTCTATCACCTGTTCCTCAGATCTGGCACTCTGTTTAAGTGCTATGGCAATCTGAAGAAACTTTAAATACAACACTTTCAGTAGTGTTGAATAGCTGCATCTACTCCAGCATTCTGTAATTTCTTCCACTGACTCCTAAGCAACTACTGTGTCCTGTAGTGATGTAGGGGCCAGCAGATGGAACCACAGTGGGAGACCAGGTATGCGACATACGCTGAAGCTTCCCTAAGCTTCCTGTCCAGTTCAAGATCACAAAGGACAGCACACTCTACATCGGCTTTCCATCTACCAGCTTAGAGAATGGACAAGGGAGGATTGGTGGTGAAGGGGAGGGGAGTGGCTTGTCTTGCTGTGCCTGAGTGTTTGTGGAGACACACACAGCTTACTAGCACACACAAAGGTGGCTTCATAGGACCCTGCAAGGGAAAGAGGCCACCCCAAAACAGGATATCAGGGACAGTGCTCAGGAGACCAGATGACTCTGCAGGAAATTAAAACATTTAAACACCAAAGAGCAGTATCCATTGTAAGTTATTTAATCACCATTTGAAATAGTTTAAAAACATTTTAACTCTAATATCACTTTAATTGCACGTGTAAATGGAAAAAAAATGAAAAAACATTTGTGCATATAATCGCACTGGAGGAACTTTGACAGATATTTGCAGGGTGAACAGCACAGTGAATTGTTTATAAATAAATCAAGGCTTTCCACAAAATGTCGGAGTTGTTTTTTTGTGTGAGGTCAGATAGTTATTACCGTTGAGGTCAAGATTTCTTTACAGGACACTCAAGTTCCTCTACCAAACTGGCCAAAACATGTCTTTATGGAGCTGGTTTTGTACACAATGGACAATCATAGTGGAACATAAAAGAACCTTGCCCAAGCCATTGCTACAGAATTGCTTCTGAAATGGGATGGCCAATAAGCTCCCATAGGTGGGGTGGTCATGTGCCCAATAATTGTTGGTAATATTGTATCTAAATCCCAATCTTTGTTTTTCGTTTTTATTATAGAGCTGGGAATTGCTTGTTGCCCTGTTGGGGAGATTTCTTTTACCATCTTCTGTCTTGAAGATATAACAGAAAGAGAAAAGACATCACTCCAAATGGATGGGAAATTCGGTGAGGGCTAGCCTAACCCTAACTCATTCTAAGCTTTCTCCTCACTTCTTGTTCTGGTGACAATTGTAACATTTTGGAGAAATAGAGAGAGTGGAGATTTAGACAGAAATAATGTTTCCACGCTCTATGCAAATCTATAAGGAAAGCTTTGGTTTTAGGTATATCGTTTTACTAGGTACATTTTGAAAACATGATCTGTTAATAAAAGCCAGCATTGAAGAGGTAGATATTGTTTGTCATTAGTGCATAAGCCTGTTTTTCCCAAAAGGTTTTTGTTTCATTTAACCATGAGCTCCCAAAAGGGGTTTCTTGTTTGTTTAATCTCATAGTGAGATTTCTTTGAAGATTTCCAATTCCCAGTCCAATTAGAGCTTGCTATTCTTCCAGAAGCAACTTTATACTTCTTTCAAATATGTCTTCTAAATACTTTTTTATCCATCATGTTAATCTGGCCACAGACAGTACAATAGATCAACAACAGTCAAATATTTTGCAATTGAATCATTGATTTGATTGTAGAGTGACTGGCTATTCAGACTATTGGCTCTTTGAACAGTGGCATATACATTAACAAGGTCGTTGCCCTGTGTGTTAACAATTGCTTGTAATGTAAAAAAAATTAGGTTCGGTTCAGATATTTCGTTATTTCATGATTCGGGATTCATATCCGAAATTCAATTTGGTTCAGGTTTCGTATGAGTTTACGAATATTCATTGCGAATACCGCAGGAAACCATGTACAGATATTAATACTAAAGTCGAATCTTCTAGACCCGAATGCCCGGATCCGAATTTCCGAATTACATTCAGGAGCTCCGGAATGCCATTCGGGTCTGGGAGCTGCAGCTTTACTAATATATGTATATGGCTCCCAGACCCAAGTGGCATTCTGGAGTTCCCAAATGCAATTAGAAAATTTGTATCTCAAATGCCATTCGGGTCTAGGAGCGTCAGCTTTAGTATTATATGTATATGGCTCCCATGTTGCCTTAACGAAAATGAATGTTCAGACCCATTCGGATGCATTAAACCGAAAAACACATCTGATTGGCCTAGTCACATCTCCGATTCAGTTTCGTTTTTGAATGAAGTTCGGACGGGATCCGAAATTCGGAAATGGAAGTTCGGATTCAGACACATTCGGATGCATTCGGATTCAGAACGAAACGAATCACACATGCCTAGTTTTTAACCAAGTTTCAAAATACTTCTATTTGATACTGCAATTTATGTGTATGATCCATTACTGTTCTTATACTTAGGGGTCTATTGATAAATGTTTTCAACTAAATCACACAATATTTACCCAGGAATTAGTTGGAAAAATATTGTACTCTTGAGGGAAATTTGTGTGTATTGTGGGATTGATTTCTGTGTATTAGTGTGTATTATGTATTAATAGATAGAACCTTTAGAACAGTGGGGGTCAATTTTCTTGACATAGGGGACCTCAAATGCAGCCCCTGACATCACCAAAGGGCTGAACATAATTTTCATTAATTGAATTTCTACAGAAAACTAGCATTGCGAACATGTTTCGGAGACAGTCATAGTGTTGCTGATGACATCCCTGGAAAGCAATGTAGGCTCACATGAGGCACATCATTTAAATGAAAGCTTGGTCTTTACCAGAGCACCCAGCTACGAGTGATGGGCTGCTGACCCTACGGACTCCTGGGCTACTTTGCTGCAAACTGACGCCAGGTCATTACCCTCAATATTGCCCCCACAAACAATTCACAGTAAGAGGATGGCTACACTGGGGAGACAGGATGTGAATAACAGAAGGGGCCATACCCCTGGATGTAAAGATGCAGGCTGCCCCTTGCCTAAAGGGTAACTTCCAGATGTTCTTAGGGCCTGGCTTCTCAGGATAGGCATGATGGGTTAGGGTTAGGGTTCAAAATTCAAATCAAGCTGGTTACATGGAAGGCTTCCACAAATTCTCTTCTGTGTCAAATCCTTTCTAATTGATGAGGTAGTGAAGGTACCCTGCTGAACTTCTGGAGTCCAGTATTGTCTCTACCTCAAATTCCTCACTGACATTCACCAAGGTGGTGGAGAAGACCTACTGAGAAAATAATCGTCCCCAAACTGTTACTACAAAGTTGGAAGGACAAAAGCTTAAAACGTCTTTGTATGCTGTAGCTTTACAATTATCCTTCACTGGAAACACCTGAAGTCAATCATTTTGAGGGGTGTCCACATACTTTGTCCATAAAGTGTTTTTTGTTTAATAATATTTGTTTTTTTTACAGTTTCCCTTAGTAACCCTTACTTCAGAGGCCCATTCATAGTCCTAAAGAGAATCAGGGTCTCATATATTGAGGATGACCATCTAACAATTGTATCCACTAGTACAAATAACTTCTACCACCAAAGATGCATCATAGGGTCATTACCCTGAAAAAGTCCTAAGTGTAGCCTGACATGTTACTGTAGATGTGTTGCTTAGGTTTCCACTTCATAATGCTGAATCATATTATATGCCGTTGTGATTTTAATTTAAATGAATTGATAGCTCTGACCACGATGTCTGTTCCTTGTCAAAGTCATGAAAAAATGTACAGTAATGAAAAAGGATTTTTACTACTTCACAATGATATATTAAGTGTATTGGGACCTATTTCCAAACCATGTATCAGTGTTACACAAATACTGTACATACATTGCATCAAATGGACATCACAGAGTAAATGGTAAGAGGATGTTAGAACAGAATCAGGATCAAACCTAGATGACAAATATCTATGAACAGGTCCAACCTTATGGACTGCCACAACTGTAAATTTGTGAAAGAAAGTACTGCAAAATTTACCATTCAATCAAAGTGTCGCTTTTCTCGAGGATTGTCACATCGGCCGGCTTCTACAAGATAGGACATATTCATTCTCCAACTCTCCATCTCACAAGGCTACTGAAACCACAAATCAGCAATAATACGCAACCCCAAATTCAAGACATTTGGGACGCTGTGTAAAATCTACATAAAAACAGAATGCAATTGTTTTCAGATCTTCTAAACTTATATTTTATTCACAATAGAGAATACAAAACCAGGAAAATGTACCAAATCACTGTAATGTAATGTTATGTAGATTTTACATAGCGTACCAACTATTTGGAATTAGGGTTGTTTGTAGTTTACCCCAGAAGTGTAAAAGGTACCTATGAAGGTTTACTAATGAAGTGTAAAAGGTACTATCTGTTGCCCAAGCTGCCCCTGGCTAGTGCACTGTTTATTTTTTTTTGAGAGTTCCAGCTCTCTGTGTAATCTTGCATATTCATTGGGCAGATAATTGGTTGTATGGCCATAGACTATAAATACTAATCACTTGCATGTGCCAATCTGATCATGTAGAGTAGAAAACTGGTTCATTTCACACACTATAGATGAAAAAATTCAGCACTGGTGTCGCCAATGTATAAAGAATGGACACAACTCTGTCCTGTTCTGGGGAGCAACTGGAAGGAGAACATACTGTAAGTTCATAAACTGTATTGTTAGATAGAAGAGGAAGGCACGGTGGGAGGAACAAGTAGAGAAAGCTTTTTGCTTTTGTTTGTTGGAATTTATCATTAAGAGGTAAAGGTGATATAGATATAAAATACTAGGATGAGCGCAAAGGTGCCTCCAACAACTACCATGGCTGCAATGTACTATAATATCTCATTGAACTAAATATTTGCACAGGCAAAATTAAGTATTAGTGGCATCTCACAGAAGAAATGATCCATTTGGTTGGATTTGCAGAAAATAAATCTAAAAGTATTCTGTGTAAGATATAGAGTTACGGCAAAGCTCATAGACCAACATCCAGCAGTCAGATGAAGACACAGCTTTTGCTCTCTGATCATGTAGTATTGTAGAGGTCTACAGATAGGCAAATCAAGCAAGTTTGCAAATCTAATCTCCTAATTCTCATGGTGTCCAATGGCTCTTCCAGTACGTGGTTAGCTATATATGTAGTACTCTCAGCATATGTATTTATATAGAAGTCATACCTAGCATCCCTTCAGATGTCCATGCTTCAGATCTCCATGTCCTGTAGTATGGAGATTGCATATGTGAAACAATTCTTAAATTGCCTTTTTTAACATAGCATAAGACAATACTATAACCTGTCCCTCATCACTTCAGTAAAGCATATTTCCCTTGTTAACATATTTTTTTTGATTTGCTTTATCTAGTGTGGGACTACACCCTTTTTTTTCAGATTTGTTTTGCTGTAAAGCCTCTTTCTCTAAGAACTAAAGAAGCGAACGTGTGCCATCATGGGCAGGGCCCTTCTTACCATCTTGTCTTGAATTGTATTGTGATTGTAATGTCTTCTTTATATTGTAAAGCGCTGCACAAACTGTTGGCGCCATATACATCCTGTATAATAATAATAATAATGTGTGAGGTGGTGAACATACTTGTGCATTCATTGTGCATGCATGCTTCCCATAATGGACACTCTGGCACTCATAGGAATTTAGCTAGCGGCACAACATGTTGGCATGATGGAAATGTCAGGTTTTTAGCAGGTGAGCTTTGTTCTCTAGGTAACCTACAAGATTTGTTCCTTAGGACCCTAAGGATTGACCCTGTTTGCCAAGGCTAATGGAAGCCAAACCAGAAACTGATATATGACGTTTACCTCCAAAATGTGTAACCCTATCCCTAAGGCACTTTTACTGCCCAAGCTGCTTTTGACCAGTGCTGGGTGTATTTTATATGACAGTCCCAGCTCCTAGTACAAATCTCAGATATACATTTATGATGAATCAGCCTATAAAGGTGCATGTGCCAATTAAATTATGGGGACAAGACAAACTGGTAGTTTTACTATATGCTCACGTGTCCTCAGACTAGCACATTTTTCAGGGATATGGAACTGCTAAACAATGCAAACTATGTGCCATCCTAGTTCACTGAAAATCGACTGTTATACAGCTTACATGTATTTATTTATATTTTAGCTTCAGTGACAATGGATGAAGGGGATCTTTGAAGTTGAAAGATCATTTTCCTTTACATTTAAAAAAATTCAAAATTAAATGGATTGTATTTTTAAGGTCATTTAGATTAGAGTGACACTAAACTAAGGAATTAATCTTAAAAATGCATTCAGGTACCTTAACTAATATAAAAAATCTTATTTGTGTATCACTCGGCTGTAGCTCCTCAAATCATCTCTGAATTGGTGCTGACACCGTCCTTCCTTCTGGAGGGTGACTACTTTGATTCCCCATGGTCCCTGTGTGTGTTGTAAAGTAGTCACTACTCCTAACACTAACCCTAACCCTAAATGCATCTGCTGCTAACAAGGAATACACTTTATTGACATACTGCAACTGCTAATGTTTTTCTTATAGCCACTTTAATTTCTTTATTTCGTACACTGTAGATGATGGGATTCAGCATTGGTGTTACCACCGTATAGAAGATGGACACAACTCTATCTTGTTGTGGGGAGTAACTGGAAGGAGGACGTAAGTGCATGAACAGTACAGTTACATAGAAAAGGAAAACCACTAAAAGGTGGGAGGCACAAGTAGAGAAAGCTTTTTGCTTTTGCTTGGTGGAGTCTATCTTTAGGATGGTCAAGGTGATAAAGAGATAAGATACAAGTATGAGCACAAAAGTGCCCCCAACAACTACTATAGCTGCTATGTACGCCAAGATCTCATTGAACCAAATATCTGCACAGGCCAAATTAAGTAATGGTGGCATCTCACAGAAAAAATGTTCAATCCTGTTGGATTTGCAGAAAGGCAACCCAAAAGTGTACAGCGTAAGATGTACAGGAACAGCAAAGCTCACAGCCCAACATGCAACAGCCAGACGAAAACACAGTTTTTGGTCCATGATCATGTGGTATTGCAGAGGTTTACAGATGGCATTGTATCTGTCAAAAGCCATAATAGTCAAGATTAAACATTCCGCAGCAGCTAAAGATGCGTGGAAGTATAACTGGATTGCACATCCCAGGAAGGAAATGCTCCTATCCTGTGACAAGGTGCTTGCTAAGATTTTGGGCACCACTGTTGTGGAATAACAAATATCAATAGTGGCAAGATTAGTCAGGAAAAAGTACATAGGTGTCTGGAGTCGGGGGTTAAGTTTTACAATAATGATCAGTAAAAGATTTCCTAATGATGTCACCATGTACATTAGGAAAAGCAACAAAGAGAAGACAACTTGTAGACTATTGATAGAAGAGAGTCCAAGAAGAATGAATTTTCGTACAACTGTTTGGTTTGAATTTTCCAGCATAACATACAATGCCATTTCTACTGATGGAGATATCTGATGATGGAAACTCTTGCATTCCTACAAAATTCAATAGATATGACAGTCAGTTATAATAAGAAACACAGTCCAATCAAACTTAGGAAAAACAGAGTAATATTAATCAAGTTATTATTCTTCAAATTCTTTGTTTTTTCCAAGACAGAGCGGTTACAGAGTTGTAGGTGATACATGGAATAGCTCCTCTCATGCTTAATGAAAGTGAACTTGACAGTTTGACCATAAAGTTTATGGTGAGCAGGGACTTTAGCAATGAAAAAGCCTTCCATCCGACTTAGTGTGTAGCACAGTAAAATCTTCTTAAAACATTGCCCGCTTCACACAGTCCTGAAATACGAAATAAACCTCTTATTGTTGGGATATGTGATGCAATAAGACATGTGAATACATTAAAAGCCAACTTGAGGGAGATCAGCTATTGTTTGTCAACATTATATAACCCTTCATTTTTCCCAGAAGGTTTTTGTTATTTCATGTTAGGAGTTCATTTAATGATTTCAAATTCCCAATCCAATTACAGTTTTCAAGTCTTCTAGAAGCAGCTTCACACTTTAAAAAAAAAATGTTTTCTAGTTACTTTGGAACTTCAAACTTTAATACTCTACTGTGTTAGGTTGGATGTACATGTGGCTCATATTGCACGTCTCAATAAGAAGTTAACATCAAGTGAGAAGTGAAAGAAGCATAGGGCATCCAGTAGAATGGAGAAGAGAACTCCGGAATTCAGGGAGGGTGGACGGGAAGGAGGGATATTTGTTTAGATAGTAGTAGGGATGCACCGATACCGGTATTTTGGTACCAAGTACGAGTACCGATATTTTTTTCCGGTACTCGCCGATACTAATTACCGAGTACTGGAAGTCCCATTCAGGAAGCCAGGCGACGTGTAATGACTCGCCACCCGGCTTCCCGATTAACAAGAAAGCCATCCCATGCTTCTCGTCACTATGTGATGAGAAAGCATGGAGCCAGCTTGCTGGCCAATCATGGAAGCAGGGCGCCGTGTAATGGCGCGGCACCCTGCTTCTGGTTTGCCGGGAGGCCGGCTCCATGCTCCCTCGTCGATGCCGGCTCCTCCCAATCAGAATCAGCATCATTACACGGCGCCTGGCTTCCTTAATGGTGATGTGATGAGTGGCTTCCTTAATGGTGATGACAAGTGATGAGAGAGCATGGAGCCGGCTTCCTGATACAGGAAGTATCGGGCTAGGCATCTGAGCATTTGAGCAAGTACGAGTGCTCGACCAAATACTCGGTATCGGCACCGATACCGATACCAGTGTCAGTGCATCCCTAGATAGTAGTTATAGCTCCAGCAGGCTACTACCACTGTCTGGTGGCAGATAACTGTTAACTCAGGGTTTCCATACACTAAAATATTTGGTTAATCTACCGGGTAATTTAGAATCAAATTCATGTTTTTAGAGTAAATTATGTTTGGATAATTTCCTCTTTGGAAAAAAAAAAGGATTTGCCTTATATCAAAAAGATGTATCATGATTTAACTTCAAGATGAAACAGAACATAAAAATGTTTCCTTTAGTTCTGCTAACCAGAAAAATGATTGGATGTTCAAGGTACCAAAAAGTAATTTTTGTAACATAAAATTTTTATTTGATATCAAAAAGTATTTTTGTTAAAATTCTACTTTTCAATCATACATTGTCATCATTTGTAATGTACTGTAATAGTAAGACTTACAGGTGACCCTTGTATGCATGCCCTTGAGTGTTTTAATAAAAAAGTAAACTTAGTATTTACAGTTAGACTCACATTATTTTGGCATGTTATCAACAGGAAAGGACTATTGGAAAGTTGTTCCTTTGGATTATTTTATCCAGGCCACAGGTGGTTTAAAGCTGCCCAAAAGGAATGCTATTCAAACTTTAGTTGTTCAAAAATACATTTAATATTTGTTCCATCTTCCTATGCATGCACATTTGAAAACAAAAGGTGAAAATAGTCTTTAAAGTTATAAAAAAAAGGATCTAATAATTATTTTGTTCTGTGTAATAGTGTCCTGTTATTTAAAATAATACATAATTAACTAAATTACTTGACTTACATAGTTACATAGTATTTGAGGCTGAATAAAGACATTAAAATAGCTAGAATGTATATTTGGTTGGAAATAGAATTTAGTAGAACTAAACTCAATACTTTTATTTTACTTTGGATAGAGTGAAGAGGGTTTCAGTATCTAATAATTAAAAGTAGTCTAGCATTCCTAGCATTTTAATTATAAATCAGAAGTTCAACTACCATTTTACTTTTACACCGGACCTACATTAACCCTTAAATTAGCAGAAACAAAAACAAGGAGATACTCTTCCGTAGAGGAGGGCAAAGCTGAGCAGCAGGTACTTGACAGGCTAGAGGGAGGTTCAGTCAATTTATTTTATTAATATTATCAAAATTATGAAAATTACTTTTAGTTACCCAGCATCCCATCCCTCTGTATGCCATAAAACAAGAGCAAATTTGCTATCACACTCATTCATCTCAACACATTCACTGCCGGCATTTTGCCATTTTGTAGTACAAAGTTATTTTTGTAGGAACTAATATCTTAGTGAAAAGGAAAAAAAGCAGATTTGCCTTATATCGAAAAGATGTATCATCATTTTACTTCACGAGGAAACAGAAGATAAAGTCCCGAAACCATATCTCATAAGACTTTTTAGCTCTTTGTCATATAGAATACATTGTAGCTGTCTGATTGATCTTTGACATAGTTGTTATTTATTTGAATATCTCCTCTGGGGAGAGACATTTCCTTCCCATTGAGGGCTAGTTCACACCAGCCACAGTGCGTTCCGACACGATTGGTGCCGGAACACACTGGATCGCATTCCGGCCGGCGGGAGGGGGGCGTGGCGTTGCATTTAAGTCAATGGCACCAAAGCCACACCCTCCGGCCACAATGCGATTGCCCGCACCGGAACGCATGGCACAACAGTGCCTGCGTTCCAGTCCGGTTCAGTCAGAAAAAATGCTGCATTAGGGTTAGGGTTAGGCACTATTTGTTCTGACTGCATAGGAGTGGAACCCAGGATCGCATCCTGCCCCAAAACAAAGTGAGCCAGCCAGAATGCGATCCAGTGCGATCATGCCAGAATTGGGAAGGGATGCACTGAAGCTGGGGTGAACTTTCCCTGTATAGTTTAACTTGCAGCCGTGATGCATGAATAGTTACCGTATATACTCGAGTATAAGCCGAGATTTTCAGCCCATTTTTTTGGGGGAAAAGTGCCCCCCTCGGCTTATACTCGAGTCAGCGCCAGCGCGTCTTCTTACTTACCTCGCCGAGCGTTGCTTCACTGCTGCTCCGGTGTGCGGCGCTCCGAGCGGGGTCATCTGGCAGTCTCCGGGTCCTAATTTAGGTGGCCGGAGACTGCCAGATGACCTCGCTCGGAGCGCCGCCCACCGGAGCAGCAGAACAGAGCTAGGTTATTTTTCTTTTAAATAAATATTAATGTAATTTTATTGGTATCTATCTACCAGTAGCCGCCTCATTTCCCACCCTCGGCTTATATTCGGGTCAACACTTTTTCCCAGTTTTTTTGGGTAAAAGTAGGTACCTCGGCTTATACTCGGGACGGCTTATACTCGAGTATATACGGTACGTGAAATTTCAATACTTCAATAGATGAAGCCAAATTTATTCCTCATACTCAGAGGTAAATCATTGTTGTTATAGTGTAACAGACAGTGGTGCTCATGAACAATCGCAGGAAAACGCTAATTGGCAGCCAATTCATTCACTTAGCAAGCAATTAATACTGCTTTTCACAGATTATATCATCACTGCATAGAGATATCATTTAGTCAGGGTCTATCAAAAGGATTTCAGAATACCTATCAGGTTTTCATTGCTGTGTGCGTGTTAGGGACATTCACTCTTCTATTTGTCCTGTTGACTGTTATTACAGACATTAAAATAAAATCCAATATTATGAGTTGTTACAAGAACAGGAATAGACAGGAAATCTTCCAACTAAGGACCCTGATGACAACAAGGCATGTCCCTTACTTTTCAGGGGTTTACTCTCACTTCCTGTGTTGGCTATAGGACTGGAAGTTAGGGAAAATCTCTTCAACGTGACAAGAAAGGGGTTTTAACTCCCTTACTTTTATTAGTAGAATTTTTTTCTTTAGTTCTACTTCAATATAGCATTGAACTGATTACATTATTAATTTGTAATATACAGTATGTTTCCTGAATATGACACACTTAGGAGATTGCTCAGGAGACACAACATGAATTGAATACCAAAAGTGAGGGAAATCCAATGTTGTCTATTGAAATAGTCTACACATTGATATAATTTACCCCCTTTTTCTGTTCTTGGGACAACTAAAAATGTTGTATTTTATTTCAATTTCTATTCCAGTGACACCATGAAATGTATTTAAAAAATGTTTACATGTGAACAGCTCTGCTAATGTCTTTGTTTTAAAACCACAAAGCAGTTTGTTTCATAAACACACCCCATAGTGTGAATATTCTTAATGTGCACACTTACAACATAAATTAACCATAAAATAGCATAAATCTGTTGTTCTAATTACTATCCACTATACATGCGCACAGCATAAATATTTGTTTCGGAATAAACGAATGAAAAGGGAAAAACCTTTTCAATATTTATGTTTGATGAAATTAATAATTATGCTGTTGCGTTGCCTCCGAATCCAAAAGTGCGCATATAAAAGAACAGAACGTGAGGCAGCCATATTGGCCACCGGTGTGTTCTGTGCATGCACAGCCATCTTGGAGGCGAGGCGCATGGCGTCACCCGATGATATCGTTGGGTGACGTCATACGCATGTATGAGCGCCGCCATCTTGGACGCAGCAAGATTGGGTTTACTAAAAGAAAATGTATTAATATATGCCCAAATATAGCTTTTCGTATTTTCGGGCATATAATAATTCGTTATTTCGGAATTGGATGAACTGCCAAATCAATGGAATTTCGTGATTTAGCAAGGTCGTCCGAATCCGAATGCACATGTCTACAATCCAATAATAAATATAGAAAATGAACTGCGCCAATAAGCAAGCTAACAGCTACAAGGCACTGGAATGTACACCCACTGTGAGTGTGTATACGTGAAAAATGACACATTTAGTTATTCATGTCTACAATCCACTCTGTCAATAGTTTACAAAATAAATGTCATCTTTAGATATACTTTGCTCTGCTTCCAAAGTTAACAATCATAATAGATTGATTAACGCTTATAGCACTATATCTCTAGATAATCCAAAGTGATGTTACCTTGTCCAGGAGTGAAATGATTTATAAACATTTCAATTAGATTAGACGGAGGACAAAGCTGATCTGCAAACCTTTATTTTTGTTGGTGTCTAAAGGTAAATCTTCTAATTCCCCCTGCAGGTGTCTTTACCTCCACACTCTTGTGTGGGAACTACTGTGATAGCTGATAGCAGATACAATAAATATTTGATAAATGATCTCATTGATCCTTTCATTTATCTCTAAAAGATGAACTATTTCTGCTGACTACTCATCAGTGTTTCTTCTATATTATTTTCTTTAGAATGCCAAGAGAAACAATAATTTGGAAATCTCTGCAATATTGAAATATAAGAGCATGGAATATAGATAAGCATATCAATTCCAAAAAATGAAACAAAATAATCTTTAAAATATATAATATTCTGTATACAAACATTTGAAATGTGTTTATTTACATAATTACTAAACAAGCAATATTCATTGTTTTTTTTTCTCTACAGAAACATGTTTCCAATGAAACATTGGAATAACAATCATAAACATTATAAAATCAACATTAGTAAAGGGAGCAGGATTGTCCACTTGGGAGGTGTAATGGTCAGAGGTCCAAAGACATTGGGCCATATAGTGTATTTACTGGCACCTCAGTTTACACCCTTGTAAGCACATTTTGGTGTCCACCATTTTCCATCCATTTTAAAGGTAAGGTACACTGTAAAATCCTTCAGTTTAAAAGGTTAATCCGGATTTCAGAAAGTATCTCTAACTTTTTTCAAGTATCTCAATACACTGATGTGTTTTAATTGCGATGGGACGTGCAGATGTTTTTTCAGGTGAGGGGAGCTGTGCCATTGGGAAAACAAATTCTGCAAATAAAGAAGTCATAGGATTTGTCTTTCCTGTCTGATCATTCATGGAAGATGTGCAGCTAGCTACAATAACCATGGAAGAAATACAGGACTTTATGGAATGATGCAGACTAGCCTCTGGATGAACAAAGCCCAAATCATTGGAATCTCTTATGTCGTAAGGTTAGCGTGACAGAAATATACAAGCCACATGTCATTATTTAATGCAATAACTCTAAAGGAAGGTTGTAATATATATTTAATAAGTACAAATTTTAACTTTTACATGAAAGTAACTTTTGACAAGTCTTCACCATTTTATTTGCTTGCTGTTAAATGTATTGATGAAACATTTTTATTTACAGTTTTTATTTTAAATGCTTCACTTGAGCAATCACCATATAAATAACAACCCTGCTTCAGGACTGCCAAGGGAAGACCAATTAGCCCTTTAGAAAGTCCGCTGTTTCAGTCAGGTCAGACCATTTGTTGGACATAGAAAAGAAAAGCAGACATAAAATATCCCTAAGAACATGCAGGGAAAGATCTGCTCATCATTGCAGCAAACTTTAATATGTGTGAGAAACTAAAACATAGCACAACACAGAGCGCACAGGACAGCACAGAAAATCACTTTAATGAAGAATTAAAATAAATGAATAACTGCATTACAAAGTATTCTTGGTCACATGCATGTCAGATTGTGGATTATGTTGAGTGCTCTGTGCTTTGCAGTGTTCAAGAGCTACTCATTATTGCATGAGTCTACTGAGTGCCATGACCTGCTCAATAGTCACCCATCACTGGGCCACTGTCAGTGCTAGGCATGTTTCATGGCAGGGCAAGGCACCCGTTTCCACACAATAATGAAGGATAGCTGCTAGAAATAAGAATTTAAAGCAAATTAGCATAGGAAAAAAATTGGAAGCACCCATGACTTTTAACAAAAAGACTTATTAAAATAAACTCTGGCCACAAAAATATTTATGTAAACATATTCTTTAGTGACCACAGAGCATATAAGTTAACTTTGTGTGCGAGCCAAGATATTATCTTGTAAAAATAGCAATGACATAATCACTGTGCTGCACATAGTCCGGTGCAGAGTGCAGAGCTAAGGGAGGTGTCCTGCAGGCCCTACACACTACAAGCTGCCTGAAAAAAACTACAGCAGGAAGAGGAGACAAGACCAGTCACCCTGCACCAGGAGAGAGAGCAGCAGTGACCGGTCTTTATTACTGGAGGGGGTGGAGACAAGACCAGTCACCCTGCACAAGGAGAGAGAGCAGCAGTGACCGGTCTTTATTATTGGAGGGGGCAGAGACAAGACCAGTCACCCTGCACAAGGAGAGGGAGCAGCAGTGACCGGTCTTTATTACAGGAGGGGGCGGAGACAAGACCAGTCACCCTGCACAAGGAGAGAAAGCAGCAGTGACCGGTCTTTATTACAGGAGGGGGCGGAGACAAGACCAGTCACCCTGCACAAGGAGAGAAAGCAGCAGTGACCGGTCTTTATTACAGGAGGGGGCGGAGACAAGACCAGTCACCCTGCACAAGGAGAGAAAGCAGCAGTGGCCGGTCTTTATTACAGGAAGCTGCTGTACAGAGGCAACACTTCAGACTGGATTACTGTACAGATGTGAAAGAAATAACAAGACTAAAACAAGAATATGAAGACCATTTGTATGAAGACCATTTTTTGCTTATCCTGAATTTCAGTCTTAAATGAATAGTATAGTTGTCTTGTACATATTGTCTTTATTGATTATAATCAATAGTAAGGGAACATTTATGATAATATATATAGTCTTTTATTCATGTTAGTAACTGAAATTTCTATAAGATATTGATTTGCTCTCTCTTCTAATTGTTACATTTCTCAATCTAGCAATCTTTCCCAACAATAGTAGAAGAGATGCATTGAGTAGGAAAAAGATAATATTCACGTGGTTCTTCTATTTATTGGTCCCACTAAATATTCATTCATATTGATGGAACAGATTACTAAACTATACTTTAGAAAAAGGAAGATGTATTTTGTGTTATTTGTCTTCAACATAGAAAATTTATCAAAATTCCTTTACTACAATTTAAATCAAAGAAAGTTTCCTTAATGAACTAACATAATAAAATAACATCTTCCAAATTGGGTTCGGATCTACAGATACCGCGCACACATGTATACAGTATCATGCCGTTTTCTTGTCGTTTCATGATATAGTGAACTGCTGGAGGAAATGTCTTTCTTTCAGATTGATGACCTTGTGTACTTTGCGATGGACTTTCAGGGTAAAGATCTACAGGGAAGAAGGGTATTGTTGGTTCAAAAGTCTTACATCAACAAGAAGAGTAAATATGATTCCAGACAGGATTATGACCTAAACAAACACTTTAAAAGGGTTTCTTGAGGGAGATATTAGAATTTAATTAAAATTTTGAAAACAATATTGGTAATGAAATGGAAAACTCAAACCATACTTATGTGAGAAGGTTCATTCTTCTGGGACTTTCAGATGTACCTAGCCTACAAGCTGTCTTCTTCTTCTTGTTCCTTCTAATGTACATTTTCACCTTCTTTGGAAATGTTTTGCTAATTGTTATGGTAATACTCAATGCCCAACTGTGGACTCCCATGTATTTGTTTCTGTGCAACCTCTCTGCCATCGACATTTGCTTTTCCTCAACAGTGGTGCCCAAAATTCTGATAAACACCATAACACAGGATAAAAGTATTTCTTTCTTTGGATGTGCTGCCCAGTTATACTTCCATTTAGCCCTTGGAGGTACGGAATGTCTAATACTGGCTGTCATGGCCTATGATCGATACACTGCTATCTGTAAACCTTTGCAATATAATGCTATCATGCACAAAAAACTCTGCAGAGATCTGGTTGTTGGATGTTGGACAGTAAGCTTTTTAAACTCTTTTATTCTCACATTCTTTACCTTCCGGCTGCCCTTTTGCAAGTCCAACCTCATCAGGCACTTCTTCTGCGAGATGCCACCCCTCTTTCATCTCTCCTGCCAAGACACTTGGTTCAATGAGATGGCCAAATACATATCTGTTGGCTTAATAGTCCTTGGATCATTCTTGTTGATACTCTTGTCATATCTCTGCATCACTTTGACCATCTTGAACATCCATTCTACCAGAGAGCGTAAGAAGGCGTTCTCTACTTGTGCCTCCCATCTTATGGTGGTCTCCCTATATTACGGCACCATTATGCTTATGCATTTACGGCCCCGATCTGCTTACTCCCCACAACAGAATAGAGTAGTAACCATCCTCTATACGGTAGTGACTCCTATGCTGAATCCCATTATCTATAGTATAAGAAATAAGGACGTTAAGGGTGCTATTAGAAAAACAATGTGTATTGCAGTATATCAGTAACGTGTCTTTTTGTGATGCATTCATTTCTTGTTAAAGATACACACAGAATATCCAATGTTTCAAAGCTAGAGGTGAAGCTAGGCCCTGTTTAGTATATGAACGCTCAGCTTTTTTATTTGCAGGGCCTTTACAGTGACACAACATGGGAAAATATGTATTTTTGCACTGACATACACTTTGACATGAATTCAAAAATGAGGATTGGCTTTGTTATAGAGACTGTCTAAAAATGGTAATAGTATCCTTAAAAATCAGCCTTTAGAATTCTTCCAGCTCTGTGCAACTGATAGACTGGGCTGAAGTCTGGCACACACTCTTATTCCCACTCATAGGCCACTAATATAGTAATAATGAAGATGGCAGTGCCGTCTTTCCACTAAGCACTGGTAGTGTGACACCCCAGCCTGGGGCATGCTAGGTAACGAGTCTTCGTCTTTCCCACATGTGTGAAGAGTTAACTGAGCTGATTACTCACACGCTTCTGCCGCTCCATATACCTGAGTCACCAGAAGCAGCTTACTCACCAGCACCTGATGAAAGTAAAGCCCTGTACAGACACCTACCTAACCACAAACTGAAAGACAGTTAGTTATAGAGCCATTATTCTCATGTCCTATGACACCTGCTTAGTGTTAATGTCCCAAAATGAGGATTTTCAGGACTGTTCCAAAAGTTTAAATATTCTCTCTCACCACATCACTATTGTCCTGTTCTTGCTTTTGCAGCTTTCTGCAGTTTAAACCTTTGACTGCCAATGACATGTTCCAAACATCATACTAATTAAACGGTTAAAACAAGCTCATGGCTGCAAAAGCCTTCAGCCGGGAAAAGAGTAAGGACCTGTGTCAACGGGCTTTGGACTTATGTTGCAAAAACCATACATCTGCATTTGGGGATATGGGAAGATGTCACCTCATATCCTGTCTCTGTGACAGCAGAACAAAAAGGAGGGGAGTGAGTTATTGCTGCCAGTTATTAGGTAACAGGAATAAGACCTGTTTTTCCTACATTGCTGTGGACCCCTCATATGGTTGGTCCGGGGTAAGTCAAGTCTCATTGTTAAATGCTGAATGGTGCTTACTATGGAACCTTGAAGGTGTCCTCTATGGTAGTGCTGCAGTAGAAATCCTTTCCTTTTTGGAGCAGTCATCGTTACCTGTTATGTCGTGGCAGCTGAAACGCATGGAATGTGCTCCATGGCCTCTTTTGGTGTGTTCACAACTGGCACATGTGTACAGAGAAGTGGAACACACAGCAGGCATGTTATATATGGGCAGCGAGTAGTTGTTGGGTATGCACATCTGTGTGTACCCTTTTCTAGGCTTTGTAAGTATTCTTTAAGCTTACTACATTGATTTGGAAGGACAATCAATGAGTTATGAATATTTATATGACCCAACCAATCCTTGAGGTCCTTGTTCAGAGGTATGGTTTTGGGAAGATGATAAACATTTGTGGTATCTTTCCAGAGTGTTCTCATTCTAACCCTGAAGACTTTAGCTATCTGCTGGAGTGGATATCTGGGGATAGTTGGACTGGAAGAGGATCTTCTTACTAAAGAGTGTCACAGAAGAACGGCATAGAAGCTACAATCTGGACATTGTAAGAAGGATTCATCGCCCATTAATCAAAGTATTTTTGACTGCTATTAGGGGGTCAAATTTAATAGAGAGATATATTGGTACTAGAGGAAAAGATTGTGGCTGCTCATACAGGGTCATAGATTTGGCTGACTGCTCTAACAGGGCCAGCAGTTACCTGGATGCTGCTCTTAAAGGGTCTCAATACTACTATCAGAATACCCCTAAACTGTCTCCCCAAAATTTGAGGTCCAAAGCAAATATCTTTGATTACACAACTAGAATGAGAACTAAGTCATTTGCATAGAATGAGATCTCAGCCCAGAACAGGATCCCACCATTAAGCACAACAGGAAGGTCAGAGTCACCCTCTAGATACCATTCATTGGGACCATCATGGTTTTTGGACTTGTTCCGCTAAGGTGATACAAGGGAAGACTTTGTGTGAAAATTGTTTTATCAAAGCAAGAAAGGACAAAGAGGTGGACAAGCAGGAGTTTGTCAGTTTAATTACACAAGTAACATGGCTTAGCGGCTTCCACCACCGGGTACTGCAGAACATCGTCCCAACACTCAATTACTTTGACCCAGGCAACTGAGGAAACAAAACATAGCCTTTCCAACAGTGGAGGAGATCACTGGATTCTCATTGGATGAATGAGCAAAAAGAAAGTCTCAAATGCACAATAGACTCATCAAATCCTCTAAATGAGGGTGAGCCAAAGATGACAGATAACTTCTGAAGGCAGCTTTAATAAAATTAGCATGTGACTCTACTTTTTGAGAATTCCATCTCCTTTAGGGACGCACTACAGCATTGGATAACCCTTAAAAGGTCTATTTTTCTGCAGTTTCGGCATGCCACCCTGTGACTGCACTAACATCTGTTGTGAAGGCGCATGTTGCTTGGATATATCACTTATAATTGGATCTTGTTGCAGCTCTTCAAGATCTTAAGTATACCTCATACATCATGTATGAAGCTGCAATAGATATTGAAAAATGCTTTTTCTAAAATTCACAATACTAGCCCAGCATATGCAGACTAAACGCCTGCCCTTTAGGCAGTGGCCTATGTGTAGAGACAGAGCAGTATGCAGAACAATACTCTGCTCAGAGAAGTAGAGCAGATAGAAGAGTGAGTACAGAGCCATCTGCAAAACGTAAATGTCATAAGCAATCTATATCCCGGGAGAGCAGAACATCCTGACAGATGCACTATTGCAGGGCCCAAGACAGGGGAGGAGCCCACTGAGATCCGGTCCCGGGATACCAGAGGATTGTAGGCGGGGCGGACTGGGCCGGGGGGCCCTTAAATATGGCAGCCACAGCGGCAATCACTTATGTCAACTCTCCCCTCCCAGCCGCTCTGTAGTTGCAGAGTATCGGTTCGACTGCCTTTGCTAAATGCCAGCTTCACTGATTGGGCTTCTCGGCAGCCAGTTGCATCTTCTTCCACCCATCCTAACCTCTGAACTCTGTACTTTGCGTTACCCCACTGACGTCCGCACTCTACATTACCCCTCTGACCTCTGTACTCTGCATTATACCACTGACCTCTGTATTCTGCATTACAGATCTTATCTCTGTACCATGCGTTACACCGCTGATCTCTGTACTCTGCACCATGCGTTACACATCGATGACCTATGTACTCTGCGTTACACCGCTGACTTCTGTACTCTGCGTTACACCACTGACCTCTGTACTCTGCGTTACACCACTGACCTCTGTACTCTGCATCATACCGCTGACCTCTGTACTCTACGTTACCCCACTGACGTCCGCACTCTACATTACCCCTCTGACCTCTGTACTCTGCATTATACCACTGACCTCTGTATTCTGCATTACAGATCTTATCTCTGTACCATGCGTTACACCGCTGATCTCTGTACTCTGCACCATGCGTTACACATCGATGACCTATGTACTCTGCGTTACACCGCTGACTTCTGTACTCTGCGTTACACCACTGACCTCTGTACTCTGCGTTACACCACTGACCTCTGTACTCTGCATTATACATCTGACCTCTGTACTCTGCATTACACCGCTGACCTCTGCACTCTGCATTACAGTTCTTATCTCTGTACTCTGCGTTACACCACTGACCTTTGTACTCTGTGTTACACCACTGAACACTGTACTCTGCATTACACATCTGACCTTTGTACTCTGTGTTACACCGCTGATCTCTGTACTATGCGTTACACTGCTGACCACTGCACTATGTGTTACAACACTGAACTCTGCATTACACCTATGACCTCTGTACTCTGCGTTACACTGCTGACCTCTGTACCTTGCATTACACCTATGACCTCCGTACTCTGCATTACCCCTCTGACCTCTGTACTCTGCATTACACCGCTTACCTCTGTATTTTGCATTACAGATCTTATCTCTGTACCATGCGTTACACCGCTGACCTCTGTACTCTGTGTTACATCGCTGAGCTCTGTACTATGCGTTACACCGCTGACTTCTGTACTCTGCATTATACCGCTGACCTCTGCATTCTGCGTTACATAGCTGACCTCTGCATTCTGCGTTACATAGCTGACCTCTGCACTGTGCGTTACAACTCACCTCCGCACTGTACGTTACAACTCACCTCTGCATAGGGTGAGGCTTCTGCAGTGTGTCACAAGAAATAATAGGCAAAGCAGCGTCCTGGTCGCCCATGTATACATTTCCTATTATTGTGTTGAGCCCGCTTCTCTAATCATGGTAGAATTTGGAAAAATATTACTGGCAGCTTTTCAAACAATGAAAGAAACTTTTTTTTTGCTGGCAAACAGTACCTGTTGTGTGTGGCTAGTTATCTCCCTTTGTATGTTGCCATAGAGTAGTTAGGAAAATACTGGCGGCAGATTAAAATTGATCTTGTACTGAGCGTTCTTCCAGCAGTGTCAGTGTAACAATATTGTTAGTGGTGTACGATGTCTAATGATATAAGCCTTTAATTATAGTGAGATAAGATATAGCACTTGCTAATTAATATGTTTTTATATCAACAGCCATGTGTCTTCAATTCAAGGTGCCTCAGGCTTTGTGAGCAATGGCGTCCTAGATTTGTATCTGGGTGACCTTAAAATGTATTCATTTTTCCTCTTGGAAAGCGTGGAGAAGGCTTCTGTTTGTGATCCTATTTAGGACATTTCCCATCACTTCCTGTCGGGAGAGGAAATTATTGGAGATCTCTTCATTTACCTTCAGCTCCATTTTCCTTACTATTCTCCATGGCAGCATACAAATGGGTAGGCTCTGCCCCACCTTCCCCCTTGAGACAATGACCTAAACAATCTCAGCCCACCTGGGTCACTCCTGTTTTGTAGATATTTTCACTCCAATTGGTAAGAATTTGAATACAATTTTCTATTATCCTGTATGTTGGACTACTGATGGATCAGAGAT